CCATTCCTATGGGGGAGCAAAGTTCTGACGAGCTCTCAGTTCAAATTTGATGCTTCCAGAGGAGCAGCTGGGGGTCCGCCTGGTGAACGGGAGCAGTCGCTGTAGCGGTTTTGTGGAGGTTCTACTGATGACATCCTGGGAGCCTGTATGCGTTGTGGACGGAGACAGAGTCACTACCGAGGCTGTGTGTGAAGCGCTGGGATGTGGTGCTTTGGAGAAGGCTACCTACCTGATACCACCCACCTCGGAGCTGTCACCCAGGGCCACCTCTGAGAATATCAGCATTGCTGGGAATACGACATGGGTGCAGGCACCAACCGTGAGATGCAGCGGAGCCAATTGGCATCTCTGCAAGGTGGAGGACCACAAGTGCAGCAGCGACAAGAGGCTGGTGCAGCTCACCTGTACAGGTACATGTCCCTAACTACCCCACATTTTAGACTTCAACCACTGCAGTCAAACTCTGGTCCCCAGACTTCCACCACCAGCCTCCCAAGTCGTACCAACTCAGGGGTTCCACATTGCTGGGTCCACCAAATCGTGTCATTACCAGATCTGAGCATTACCTCAGATGTGGCCTGCAGACTCCTCCTCAGCTGGATCTCCAGAGCATCCTCTTGGTCTGCTCTGGTCTCCTATGTTAACCCAGTCTGTTTATTCCCTGTACCCTTCCTGACTGGGACCTGTATGTTCACTCTTCCCTCCAGGAAGATAAAGTTGTCATGTTCCCAGGCTGTCTTTGCTCTGAGTCTTGGTGACTGAGACAATACTCAAGGCTTTGCCTACCTGGTCCCTAGTCCTGCTTCCTGTCTTTAACATTCCTCCCACATAATCTCTAAGTCACGCCCACGGGGTTCACATTTTAGAGGGGTCTCCCAATCCTCCCTCTAGGTTATAGCCACTCCCACGGAGTTCAAGGACCCACTCTTCCTGCCCCACCCCCCAACATCCAAAACCCTCCCATCCTCAGAGAACCAGGCTGTGCGGTTAGTGGATGGTGGCAGCCGCTGCGCTGGCCGCGTCGAGATGCTGGAGCACGGCGAGTGGGGGACAGTGTGCGATGACACGTGGGACCAGGAGGATGCAAACGTGGTGTGTAAGCAACTGAAGTGCGGCTGGGCAGTGCAAGCGCTGGCTGGCTTGCACTTCACCCCCGGCCAAGGACCCATCCACCGAGACCAGGTGAACTGCTCCGGGACCGAGAACTATCTGTGGGACTGTCCCGGGCTGCCTGGAGACCAGTACTGCGGTCACAAGGAGGACGCAGGAGTGGTATGCTCAGGTCAGTGGTCGAGCCTGAAGGAGGTGACATATTTATGATGGGACATCTTTAGTAGAAGTTGGATTGAAGGCGGGGAGTGTCGTATCTACCCCTCCCCCATCCCTGTGGAGCCAGGGCTTCTGGTCCCGCCTGTGCTGCTTCTTTAAATCCACAGCAATGGCGTTAGTGAAGTGATCTGTAACAACCCCCAGAATGAGCTGCTTCTGTCTGTTCACAGCTCACATTTGAGCAGTCAAGATCTAGAGTCCCACCAGGGGGCTGGCCGGAGCAGCTGGGATGGGCAGAGGGATCACGGGTGCAAGAGGGAAGAAAGCAAGAGCTGTGCGGGCCCATCTCTGTGATGGGGTTCTAGGTTGGCAGCGGTTTGGGCCCAGAACATTCTAACTCAACTCTGTCGCCTGCCCACAGAGCACCAGTCCTGGCGCCTGACTGGAGGCATCGACTCCTGCGAAGGGCAGGTGGAGGTGTACTTCCGAGGGGTCTGGAGCACCGTGTGTGACAGCGAGTGGTACCCGTCTGAGGCCAAAGTGCTCTGTCAGTCCTTGGGGTGCGGATCGGAGGTGGATCGGCCCAGGGGGCTGCCCCATTCCCTAGAGGGTAGAATGTACTACTCCTGTAAAGGAGAGGAACCCACCCTCAACAACTGCTTCTGGCGATTCAACAACTCCTACTTGTGTCGTCAGTCGCTGGCAGCCAGAGTCGTCTGCTCAGGTAATCCTTCCCCAGTCCCTCCACCGCTAGATCTAATCCACAAGTTTTGCCTTTGTCTCTGCCTCCAGATGGCTTAGCAACTGGCAGATACTGGCCCAAGAAAGGTCACTGCCCTTACCATGCTCAGGCAGACATTACTAATGGATCAGAATGATTTTTTTTTGTTTTGTTTTTTGTTTCGTTTTTGTTTGTTTGTTTTTGTTTTTGTTTTTTTTTCTGCAAGACACTGAACTCAGAACCAAATTCATGGGTTAAGTAATTACCAAGGAAGTCATTATTACGTGCTAATTGGTCCCTATTGACTGGAATGACTCAGGTGAAGCCAGCTTGCTATCCCAAAGGTGATGGTTGCAGGAAAAAGCAGATTAGGAAACATGGATGGGTATAACATGAGTGACAGCATCTGGAGCCGTAGCCACATGCCAGACACTGCCAGGCTCTTGGCAGCTTCTTTCGGTCTGGTCTTACATCCACTGTAGGAGGGGGCTGCTACTGCACTTCTCCAATTCTAAGACCACAGTGGAAGTCATAACATTGGTGTCTTATGGTCCACAAAGAAATAAAAGCAGACCGGAGGTACAGCTGGGTGGTAGACCACTTGCCAAGGTGTGCCTAATGCCCTGGGTTCAAACCTCAACACGTCAAGGAAGGAAAGAAAGGAGAAGAGAAGAAAGGAGAGGGAAAAAGAAACACCAAAAATCCTGCTGTGATTGATGTGGTGAAAGAAACTAAAAAGACGTTTGTCCAAACTTGGCATGCTATCACACCGAGTGAGGCCACTGCTCCGGTGACAGAGGCTTTGTAGTATGAAAGTTAGGTTCCGGGGGCTGGAAAGATGGCTCAGAGGTTAAGAGCCTTGCCTGCTCTTCCAAAAGTCCTGAGTTCAATTCCCAGCAACCACATGGTGACTCACAACCATCTGTAATGGGGTCTGGTGCCTTCTTCTGGCCTTCAGGCATACACACAGACAGAATATTGTATACATAATAAATAAATAAAAATAAAAAGAAAGTAAGGTTCCCCACCTGCCAGAACACAGTGTGAGCCTCCTTGTTGGGCTCAGAATCCTGACTCCAAGTTCCAGTCTTGCTGTTTAGAAGCAAGGAGGACCGGGGCAGCTCCTCAACATCTGTGGCTTCAGAATAAAGGGTGCTCTTCTAGGTAGCTGGAGACTGAGATGCTATGGCTTAAGGGCTGTATAGGCGCCACAAGCTAGGAAGCAGATCTGCTAGAGGAGGTGTGGATTATGTTAACGAGAACACAGCTTCCTAGTTCCTGAGGTCCCAAAGAGCAATTGAAAGTTGAGTGGGGAAAGGACACAGTCTGCAGTAGCTTACAGAGGAAGAAGGGATAGTTCTGTCCACCCCCACCCTAACTGAAGCCTCTTCCTCTCACTGCTACGGGCATGGTTCCTATACCCTTAGGCCCACAGTGGGATCCAGGACGCTTGTCTGCCTTGTTCAGTTTCTAGATCAAGGCTTGGCACACAGTAGGTACTCAGTAAACTCATTAAGTAAATGGGTGGTACTTTCCAACAGACTCCCGGAGACACCTCAACCTGTCCACTGCTGAAGGACCTTCCATAATTCCGGTCACGATAGGTGAGTGTATCTTCTCCCAGCAGTGGAACTGCCTGTGTTTACATGTGTGTTCATATAGTCATGGGGGTCTGCCTGGGAACTGGGCTCCCAATCCCACTGATGAATCCCACCCTTGGGAGGCATCCTGCCATATAGGACCTATGTGAGCAATATACACCACACACATGCGCGCGCGCGCACACACACACACACACACACACACACACACGTCTTGTGAGCCAGAGAGATCCTAAGTACCTAAGTACTTTGGAACCACTTGGGTGCCACACTCCTGGCCTGGATAGGTGGTGGGATACCAAGAGCACCAGTCAGTGTGAGTAAGGTTTAGGGTGTGTGATCTAGTGCCCTCCTGCATTATTTCCCAAACCTTTCTGCTACCCACCCCCATCAACTGAGGGAAGCCTCTCTAAAATCTGAGAAACAAGCTGAGGTCCAGAGTTAGGGTGACAGCAGTCCTGTTGGCCAGCACTTGGAATTTGAGCTCTCTTTCCAGATCTGTACCAGGTCCGTCTGCTAGCTCTGTGTGGCTTGGCCAGCACCAGAGCTGGTTCCTGGGGCTCACATCCCTGCTGCAGGGATGTTCTCTTATTTCATGAGAGAGTTTTCCAACCCTCAGAACGGTCTGTGCGGTGAGAGCCCTGTGGAGGTCCAGCACTGGCTGCGCTTCCTGCCACTCTGCCTGATCACTTCCACCCACCTCAGACCCTCAAGATGGGGCAGGACAGGGCCTGGAGGAGATGCTAAAGGAACAGAGCCCTGTCAGAGGCCCTGGCTATGAATAAAGAGCATAGACAGGAGTGAGACGCTAGGAACTGCCCAGGCTATGGAATGAGGTTGACAGAAATTGCAGCTCCCATGTCAGGGTGGGGAGTCACACCTACTCCAAAATGCAAAGAGACACGGGGCCTCCTGGAGTCAGGTGGGGATCCATTGTCAACACTTCCCTTAGCCCCAGCGGTTTCCTTGGGGTTTACACCCCAGAACCCCCACAATTCAGCATCCCCTCACACTGCTTCTGGGTAGCAAATCAACCTTCCCTTCCTAGCCCAAACCATCCCTGTCAGCAGCCAGAAAGAAAAGGAGGGAAAATGAGAGCTGATGGAGAACTGTGTTTTCCTCTGGGAAAGCAGACACCGCCAGGGCCTGTGGCCCTCCTTACAGCTCCCCGTTTGACAGAGCCTCCAGGCCTCTGATAATGTCTTCATGCTGTAACCGTAAGATATAATGCCTGACACACAGTGGTACTAAAGAATTGTCTGCTGAACAAAGGCTGAGTGCAGAAGGCCAAGAGAGGAGGATGGGGGAGAAAGGGAGGGAGGGAGGGACGAGGAAGGGAGGGAGGGAGCGAGGGAGGGAGGGAGAGCAAGCTGTGGGCTAGTAGCCAAAGGGAAATTTCAGACAGTAAATACATTTAGTCAACTGCTCATTTAATATGCACTCACAGAGCACTTACCATCGATGAGGTACTTAGAAGCCGATGGGAAGGAAGATTTGAATAAAAGACTGGAGGAGGAAAAGGGTGAAAAGGAAGGTGGGGACGCTTCACGAAGGTGAAAAGGCAAAGGAAGGTGTTAAAGGGGCTCACATCCATTTCTTTTCCTGCTTGAACTGGGTTTCCAGAATCTTCAGTGCCGGTGAGCGTGAAGGACAAGGAGTCTCGAGAGCTGACACTCCTCATACCCTGTATTGTCTTGGGAAGTCTCCTCCTTGTTTCCCTCATCTTCATAGCTGTTCTTCTCTTGAGAGCGAAAGGACGATATGGTAGGTGTGACCTTCCCAGAGCTACTGCACAGGACACAACAGTTGTGAGGTATAGGCATCCCCCAGTACCTGAGGTGTGGAAGAGCCCCGGTGGAAATGGTCCTGCAAGGACCACCCAGCTCAGGCCTGGGGAAACCTCCTGATGGTGGGAAGGATTTTCCAAGCATTCATAGCAGTAGAGCCTACAAGCGGAGGTTTCTCAGGAGAAGCAGACTCTGCGTTTGTGTTGGGTGTGGGGTGAAGGAGATGTGTCCTTGATGGAAGCTGAAAGACCGAGAGACAGGAAAATAAAAATGATGTGTAGGCTTTCTCCCTCCCTTCCTCAGCCCTCCCTGTTTCAGCGAACCACCAGAACCTGCCCACTGCCACCCAAGCAGGAAGCAATAACTATCACGCTGTCCCCATCACCATTCCCAAAGAAGGTAGGATGTCACCCGTGGGGGACGGCAGGCGAAGGACGGGAGGGTGGACTCTGGAGGGTCGCCATTGCTGAGGTCGAAGTGGCACCAACAGAAGAGGAGCCCAAGCCAGACTATGCACAGGGTGTGTTGCCTTGAGCAGTCATGGCCTCTCTGACTTAGCAGACTTTCTAATTCAGCCTTGCACCGACTCTGGGCTTTTGAGTTCTGAGCAAATACAGCCAAGTGTTTGGACTGCTGATTCTCGGAGGAAACGTTATCTCTGCTCACTAGCTAGTAGACATGTGATGTCACTTCTCAAGATGCTTCCCAACCAGATGCCCCACAGGGCCCATCACCATTCACCCAGAACAAAGGCTGGGTGTGGCTACATTGGTAGAGTACTTGCTTAATACATACAGGCCTCGGGTTCAGTCCCCAGCAGCACACAACCCAGACGATGGAGCACTCCTGTTATGCCAGTACATGGGAGGAAGAGGCAGGAGGATCGGCAGTTCAGGATCATCTTGGCTATATATTGAGTTTGAGGCTAACTTGGCTTACATGAGACCCTATCTTTAAAAAAGAAAGAAAAAAGATTCTCTTGGGTCTTAATTTTTTTCATATTCCCTGAGTTAAAAAAAAAAAAGAACTGAGAAGATAACTCAGTTAGTTGAGGTGCTTGCCTTGCAAACATGAGGACCTGAATTCAGTCCCCAGTGCCCATGCAAAAAGTTAGGCATGGTAGCATGGGGCTGTAATCGCAGTGCTGGGGAGCTGAGACAGGCAGATAGATCCCTGGATCTTACTGGCCACTCAGTCTAGCCTGTTCAGCAAGCTCCAGGTCCCAATAAGAGAACCTGTCAAAATGTGGTGAAGGGTAGTGGCTGGCAGCATATGGCTTTAATCTTAGGTCTCCAGAAGCAAAGTTAGGCAGGTATCTATGAGTTCAAGGCTAGTTCTGTTGACATAAGAGAGATCCAGGCCAGCCAGGTATACTCAGCGAAGCCCTTATAAAAAACAAACAAAGAAAAAGAGATTGCTATCTCTCCACACACACACACACACACACACACACTTTAGGACACATGATTTGCCCCTAAAAAGTTTGAGCCCAATCTCATTGCGTTGTGAAACAAAAAGGGTCACCTGTTATTCTGCCCCCTGTCCCTGCCTCTGGGCTCTCAGCCTCTCCCCTTCAGCGTTCTGCCCACCTTGGTGCTGGGTCCTGTGCCCCAATCCTCTGTTCTCTCCCCAGCGCCTATGCTGTTCATCCAGCCCCGGGTCCCTGAGGACTCGGACACCAGTTCCGGCTCTGACTATGAGCAATATGACTTCAGCTCCCAGCCGCCTGTGGCCCTGACCACCTTCTACAGTGAGTGCTGGGCTGGCTCCAGGGGCTTGGGACCTGCAGGAGGGCACCTGCTGGTGCCCACAAGACTTTCACGGGACTTCCTTGTTGCTCCCCTGTACTGATTTCGAATGGTCCTAAAACTTTCAAAGTGCCCTGTGACCCTGGCAATCTGCCTATTCACAGGAGTGTGGCCTTTTCTATCTCTGGCTGAGTAAGGTCTCAGTACCCTCACCAGGCCCCTCACATGCATCTAAGGATGCTGAGTTTGTGCAAACCCTGAGGGTCCAGGTGAGACACAACTTGGGCAAATTCTTACACACTCATCATCCCCCAACCATGTCTTACTCCAGTCTGCCCAGTCCCTCCACCAAGCCAGCGTATGCCTCTTAGTTAGTCTGTCTAGCTCTCCCACTGCCTGCTGGGAGCAGGACCAGAGAAGATGGCATTTACATCAGAACCCAGGTAATGCTTGGGCAACAGAGAAGGCCGGAGGGTCCACACCTCTACGTATCCCCTTAAAACATGTCAAAAATCCTTGAGCATCACTTATGCCTACTGTACAATCAAGTTAGTACCAGAGTTTGGTCATGCGTGACAGAAACCTTCCAACTATCAGAGTCCTGGAGACTGAGGGAGTCCCAGATTTCTTCAACGCTGCTGTGACCTTACATGGTGCAGAGCCATTGCCATATCCACACAGCAGGACAGCAAGGTTATCCTTCACTTCCATTCCTCACTGAGAACAAGCCTGCTAGCTGGAAGAGGGGCGGGGCAGGGAGCCTGTACAGAAGCAGCTGAGGGTTCTGCAGAGGAAGGAGGGACGCTATCCCACCTCTCCCCTGACTCGGGGTCTCTGGGAGGATCCCAGAGGAGGATCCACCTCCTCTGACCCATGGGTGAGGCTTGGTGGCCATGCAGATACAGTGGGACATCTGAACTCAGGTGTATAAGGTGTCATGTTGTGTCCCAAATGCTATGGCACTGGAACTCACAGTCACGGTCAGGCTTCAAAGAGCTGACCCACGTTCTTAAGCCTGAGCCTCAGCCTTGAAGCTGGCAGAATGCAATGATTCTGGGCCGTGTGGCTTCTCCACCCAGGAAGTGCCTCCCAGGTCAAATAGCAGCCCATTTCTGGACCAACCAGGGGGCGAGTCACTGAGTTGGTAACATTCTTATGAGGAGCATGTGTGGCACGGGGCAGGGGTGGGCGGGAACCACCTGTCTCCACACTGGTCCATGGTAGACCTGAGATACCATAGATGAAATTCGAATCCTGTCCCAGTCAGGGTTGTCCTCCTCCAGGCTCCTCGTAGGAGATGGACCTCATACCCACCCCCCTCACCCAGTCTGCTTCCTGCAGATTCCCAGAGGCATCGGGTGACAGAGGAGGAGGTTCAGCAGAACAGGTTTCGGATGCCACCCTTGGAGGAAGGTGAGTCCAGAGCAGACAGGTCTTGGAGAAGATAAGCAGGGTGCTGACACCGCCTCCAAACTCGGTAGCTGAGCTCATGTTTGGATATACTAGCAGAGACTTTCCTCAACTAGTGTCTCTGGCCTAACATTCCCATAAGCAGTAAGTTCTGCTGGGAGTCTAATTTAAAACCCTCTTGCTTCCTTCTTTCCCTTTTCCTGGCCCAGGACTGGAAGAGCTACATGTTCCCAGCATCCCAGCTGCTGACCCCAGACCCTGTGTGGCAGATGTGCCCCCTCTGGGCTCTCAGTACCACGTGAGGAGCGACAGTGGGTCGAGCACCTCCTCTGGGGAGGGTTACTGCAACAATCCCAGCAGCAAGCCACCTCCGTGGAGTTCCCAGGTGTTTTCTTCTGAGAAGAGTCCCTCCACAGAGCAGCCCCCCAACTTGGAACTGGCTGGCTCTCAGGCAATGTTTTCAGGTAGTTGTGTGTCCCCCCAAGGTCCCAATCCTATGTCGAACCTACCCAGCAGAGGCACAGAACCCAAACTCTGAGTAGCCAGTTGGCTGTGTGACCTTGGACAAGTCTCCTTCCCTCTCTGGGCCTCTTCTTCCTCATGTGCCTAGCTCCAGACTTGGCTCTCCGGGGTCCTCAGGCTTGCTCCTGGCAGAGAGTAACTAGTCTGGATCTTCAGCAGGGACGGCAGACGGTGACAGTTCCAGCACCTCATCCGGAGAGTGGTACCAGAACTTTCAGTCACCACACCACAATCCTCCAGTGGAGCAGTTTGAATGTCCAGGTACCTGGGGCAGAGGCGGGGTGGGGGTGGGGGATGTGAACAGGGTGGAGAAATGTTTGGAGGTTTCTGCAAGAGGAAGTGAGCTCACTGCCACTGGAGGCATCCAAGCAGAAGCTGTTGGCCACATAGGGGAGGTGTCAGCAGCAGTAAGGCTGCCCGCACGCACTCACTCACTGTGCACCAGCCTGGGAACCTCAGTTCTGGACTGGAGGCAGCAGCAGGCAAGAGGATGAGATGGTTTCAGATGGTGCCACAGGGACCGAGGCAGGGGGTGGACACGGGCCTGCTCACTGCCCATGGCATGGCATGTCCCGTGACTCTGCCCACTGCTGACTTCATCCTCCTGGCCCCACAGGACCCCCTGACCCCCAGTCAGACTCCACTGATGAAGAGGAGGACTATGATGACATCGGAGCAGCCTAGCCTGGGTCCCTGAGGACCTGAGGGTCCCAGAGGTCGGATGGCTCCTCCCTCCGCTCTCCTGCTCTGCCGCTGATCAGCTTCCAAGAGGCTGCGGCCCCTAGCAGAGGGGGAAGGGCATTCTCTCAGACCTTCATCCTCGCCCTCCATCAACCTGTAGGAGCCTGGAGCAAAGGCATGGCCAACGGTGTGGGCACTGAGCTCTGGGTTGAGCAAGCAGGGTCTGGCCACTTCTGGCAGTGGTGGAGGGCCATGCTAGGTGACTCTGAGGCCTCAGCTCACTCTGCCGTGTCAGGTACTTTGATCCTAAGTCTCAGGAAGCTGCCAAGGGGCTGAGCAGCTCACTCACTGCTGCAAGAGAGGTCCTGGGTCAGGGGCTGCCATTGTCACTCAGGAAGGCACTACTGTCTGAGTGTAATCAGAGAAACACCCACATAGCCCGGGACGTGGCCTTCCTGGGCACTGTCAGCTGAGAGCAACCAAGACAAACACGTGCTCCCACCCAGTCGGGCCGAGGCCAGTCCTGCCCACCAGAGTTCTCTGAGTCTACCACAGGCACTGGCTGGACCTTGTCTCTATCCCTGGACAATAGAACATTATTCTGAGCTCCTTGGGGTTTAACGGGGGTCCCTTCCCAGTCACAGAATCAAGGGATGGGCAGCTCAGTTGGGGCAAGAGTGCAGAGGTCTGTCCTGGAGGGCCAGAGGCCACCAGAAGCTATGAGTCCCCAGAGATCCCCTCGGGTTGACAAGAACGCTTTAGGTGAATGTGGCTATTGTACCCAGGACTTTAAACAGGACCTCCCTACAGCCTCAGAAAACTGGAGGGTTCCAGCCAGGCTATGGTGGCCTGTCCTCAGTTCCTGAGATTAAATGATTGCTGAGTGAAAATGAGGTGTGTTGTGACAATTCCTTAAACTCAGTGCTGTGTGTGCTTGTGTGTGTATGTGTGCATGTGTGTGTGTTTGTGTGCACACACGTGCACATGTGGCGGCGTACATTTCCTCAAGGGTAGAGGAGCTCAAGTCCTTGCAGCGGAATGTTCTGGAGGCTCCAGCAAGAATTAAGGAAGGAGGAGACACCATGGACAAGTTCATCTGTGCTCTGGACACCCAGGTTCAGTCCTCAGGGCTATCTGGACACACCCCTAAAGGCTGTTCCCCAAGGGATGAGAGATGGGTACCCTGTGGTTGGTTGGGGATTTGGGAATGCTTCATCCTCCCCCTCTCCCCACCACCACCCAGCTGCCTTTGAAAGTAAGCCCAATGCTCCGGTGCCCCCATAAAATACTCTCGATGCAAAGGTGGCCTGAGAGCAGCAACCCTCCCACGACACTGACTGTAAGAGACCAGCTGAATGCACTGTGCCTGGGCTCCACGCTAGCTGTAGGCAAAGCGGAGGCAGCTTTGATCCATTCGGGCAGAAATGTCAAAGCTGTCATCCACTGTGGCCTGGTACTCTAGCCAAATGTAGGGAAAGGAGAGCCAGGCCAGCGTGGTGCAAAGGATGGAGGGCAGATGGGAGTTGCCCAACTGTTCCCAGGCCTGTGGGCCAGGCTGGCTTTGCCAGAGGAGATGGCTATCCGCACCCCGACAGCCCAGGGGCCTCCCCAGACAGAATAGATGCTGTGGCCCATGTTGCCTGACTGGAATTTCACCCAGTCGCAGGTGACTCTAGCCTTACTGCCCTCATTGCTCAACGCCGCCTACGGACTGTGGGTCTAGCCTTCCTCTGGGAGCTGGGGTGCTGGTTGATGGACCTGCTTTCCGTTCCAGTCCCTGCTGTACCAGCCACAGGCACTCCCGGGGCAACCGTCCCAGGATGTGGTCGCCTGTGTTGCGGTACCTCCCAGCCAAGTCTCCGACCACTGCGGGGGATTCCTAGGGGAGGAGTCGCAGCTTCAGGGCGGAGCATTCTGCTGGCCTGAACCACTGGGAAAGCTTTTTGCTCCACAATCTGTGTTTTACTCCCGGTGCTAAATTATCCCATTAATCCTGGCTGCCTCAGGCCAGCAGCTCACCTGCTCTGGTCCTCTGCTAACAGAAGCTTGGCTGCTGGATGTGCATAGAAAATCACTGGTGCTGAGGAGGGTTAAGGGCTCTGCATCCAATGGTTCCACACTGATTAAGATTAATAAAGTCTTCCATTAGGAGGACTTGGGGGAGGAGAGGGGCTGAGGGTGGGAAGGGTCTTGTCCCTACGTCACTGAAAGGGAATTAATAAGGAGTCACAAATATGGTTCCCTTATCCCCAGCCCAACCTCAGACATAGAGGAGGCACCTTCTCTAAGCCCAGATCCCCCGGGTCCACGAGAAATATAAACCATTGGCATGTCTGTCCTGCCACTTTCCAGTCTCTGGGCAGCAAGAACTTGTAGCAGGGGAGGAGGAGATGGGACCCTGCAAGAAGGCCTTTTTCGCCCTCTCCCACCCTTGTTCCTAACCAGCAAGCTTGAAGGAGCAGATGGCAGGGAAGTCCCTGAAAAAACAAGTGTTTTCCCCTCCACTCTTGTAGGACCTTGAGTTAGAAAAGGCCTCAGGGGTCTGGTGTGGGACGAAGCCCTCAGGAATACCACCCAGGCAAAAGGTGTGGCTGCAGAGATGGGGAGGGCACTATCAGAGAGGGGTGCTGCCACAAGTTTCAGATTTTTGGAGCCGCTAAAGGATGATGGAGACTTCCCTAACTCCCAGAACCCCTGAGCTAGCTGTGTGATCACTCACAGGAAGGCCTTCAGGGGCTGACACCTGAGCAGGTCCAGCAGGATCGGTAGCACTGGCAGTGACATTGGGGAGGACCGGGACGTCTAAGTCTACGTTAGACATGAACAATGACACCAAGGAACTGAGGCTGGGGACAGTCCGGTTCTCAAGCCAGTCCTCTTCTGTGGGTGAGAGTGCTAAGGCTCACAGAGGTTCAGTGTCACACCCCAGGCCACACCCCTAAAAGGTGATGTGCATGAGTCTGGCTCCTGAGAGACTGAGCAGTAATCTGCATACTTGCTCTGTCTGTGTGTGGTCAGAACCATAGGGCCAGGCTCAGCAGGGCCTCCTGCCTCACTCCGGAGCCCTGAGCTGCGGGTGAGGGGCACACAAGACTCCCTGTTAGGGCACATACCCTCTTGAGCTCAGGGACACAGCATGCACAGGGAGCTAGGCTCTGTGCTTGGGCCCTGAGTGCATAGAGAGGAATGGAAGCTGGCTGTCACCCTTGGGGACTTCACAGCCTGGGTTGTGAATGGTGATGACAAACTTGACAAGCAGTGGAGGGGAGCAGTGTTTGCCAAGGGGATGTGGTTTCATGGCATCGTGATAACGGCTCACTGAGAAGGGATCGTCTGCGCCACTCACAAAGCAACCGAGGCCAGGGAGCATGAGTGGCTAGGCAGAAGCCGCATGACCGATAGCACAAATCTGCTTCTAACACAAAAGACCCGATGTGGAGCCACTGGCTAACATGGTGAGTTCACATCATGTCTAAGCCACAGGAACCTCAGTGAATCTGCTTGGCACCCCCTTGCTCCCAAACAAGCCTAGGAGGGCTAAGACAGGAGGCAGGGCTTTTCTGCTCCCCCACCTCCCAGACTCTCCACCCTGGACACATGTGGACTTCTCCCCATACTGGAAGACTTAGTTACTAAAGACTCGGCTCTCACGTGTGATGCTCTAAAACAAACTAGCTGTTTTACTGAATTGATCTGAAGCTTTGGGGAGAAACTTCTAGACTGAAGCCAGCACTGAGCAATCTTCATGGAAGCGTCATCCTGAAGCACAGACATCACCCTAACACACCATCTTCACCTTGCACGTTATCACCACATCGCTACAGTAACAGTGGGAACAGAGATGGGGGAGAGGGGCTAAGAGTGTCTAAAAGGGTGTGGTAGGAGAAAATAGGATAAAAGAGGGGATGACTGAACTGGCCATTGAAGAATGTGTAGGGTTTTCAGAATAAGAAAATGAAAATATCCATAGAGGCATCCAAATTTGGGCTGCGCCGCCTGTAGTCGGGAAAAAGTCTCCAGGTAATAAAAACCATTGCAAGTGTCTTGGAGGCCTGTGTCATTTCCCCAGGGTGTTGCTCACTGTTCTTGAGGCTCCTGGGGAGTGATTTGATCTTAGGGAACTTCAGAAACATCTCTGCTGTAGAAAAGAGGTTGTCTGAGGACCACTGGGGAGGTGACTTTGGAGCAAAAAGGCCAGGAGTGGAGATGGGGGACAGTGGAGAAATTGGAGAAAGACTTGGGGTTCAGAGAGTGTTCACTGGTGTGTGGAGTGATTTTCTTATCCACCAGTCTCTGGCTTTAACAGAGACGCTGACAGTGACTTTGATAATGGGAACTTCAGTCCTGAGCTCACACATTCCTGGGCACCAACCCTTCCGTATGGTGGAAGAAACTGAGGCTGGGAACCAGTCTTTCTGGGACAGTGTGACCAGGCTCTGGCTGACACTCTGAGTGGCCTCCTGAAGGTGGCAAGGTCCGTGTTAAAGGCTCCTGTCTGTCTGCTACTGTGTAAGAGTGAGGCCTAGAGCCACTTGGCTTTCTGCAAATCTCCCAGTTCTTTTACATCTGAGATGTCTGGAGACGTCCCAGTGGATGGGACAGAGTTCAGGAGGAAAGGCT